CGCGCGGGGAAACTGCCCCTTAACAAGGCACGTGTTTGGCGTTAGGTAAAGCAGGAGTAGTAAAAAGAGCCCTAGCACCGAGCAGCTCTGTTTTCCTACACTGAAAGAAATATATATCTTAATACCAAACTCTTCTGCTGACCTCATGAGGAAAGCGCTGCTCCAGAAACGCACTCTGCTCGCTGAAACACGAACAATAACAACAAAAATAAACCCTAACATTACGAAACACCTATTTTTCATATAACACCTCTGCCCTGCGGATCCCCTTTTTAAGCGCGGCAGGCATCGCCCCGCCCCGGCGCGGCGCCTTTAAGAGGCGGCCGAGGGCGGCTGCCATCTTGCGTGTGGGCGGCCGCGCGGGCGCATGCGCGTTGGCGGCGGCAGGAGCAGCGGCGCTGCCAGTGCCCTGCGAGGCGGCGGAGCGATGGGGCTCGGGTCCAACTGCACCGTGCGGGGTAGGCGCGGGTCGTGGGGCGGGATGGGATGGGAGGGGGGGGCGTCCGCATTTGGGGGTGAAAAGGGAACGAGACATCCCGTTATTTTTTGGGGAGGAGAAAGGAGAAGCGGTGCGGCCTTCACTCCCCGGGGGACAAAATGGCGGCTCTGCTCCCCCCCTTCCCTCCCCCCAATAACGGCTACTCTCGGGCGACTCCACCCTTTGGATTTAGCGCCTTTTAAGACCCCGCGTAAGGTTTTAATGCGTCGCTTCTTGTCTCAAAGCCGGTTTGCGGGCGCTTTTCGGGGTCTGCGCCATCGGGCTGTCCTTGTTCTTGTCCTCTCTCGCAGTTTTCTGCCTGCGAAAAGTAACTGCTGGGGGAGTCGTGTAGCCCTGAGGGAAGAGGAGCCGAAACTATCGCTGTTYACGTGCTCTGCCGGGGGAATAAACGCCCCTGGGCTCCTAGCAGAGCCTAAAAGCGTCTTTGTGGCCTCTGGAAAGGCCCACGAGGATTTTTTGGGGAGGAGGAAACTTCCAGAGGGCAAGGAGGAAGAATTTCTGTGTCCCAAAGCTGTTATTCCTCAGGGCATGAAACTCATGCTGTTCAAATGAGCTTCTCCGAGTAAGGCACGTCTGACCTTGAGTTTGGCAGCAAGCCGCAGAGCTGATGCCAGCGGCCTTCTGGAGCAAGAGCTTAAAGCCTTTTTTAAAAAAGGGCACAAGTGCAGTTTTATGGATGATTTAATGYGAAATGGGTGTTCCAGCTTTTTAAAAATCTATTATTTGTGCAATAAAACAATGGTTAGCAATAATACTCCTGATCTCTGAGGTGTTGCAGGGTGATAATAAGAGAGAAGGTTCATCTGTTAAATTCAGATGACTTTCATAAATTACTGGCTGCCTAAAGATATGGGAATAGTCTAACAGTGCTTTCTTGGGTGGTTAAAAGTGATAACTAAGGCTTGATCCAYTGACAATACATAAAAGAATAGCTTGGTGCAATCTTTATGGCTGCTGCTTTTCTGCTAAAGTGCGTTAAGCATCTTGAATGACACCCTGTTCTAAAGGGGTGCTTTGTCATGCCCTTGTAGGTGATTTCTCAGCATACTTAGGTCTTTTCTACTTCATCTACTAAGAAAATAAACTTTGAGCAACTTCTGCACTTGCTATTCCCTTTGCGGGACACTTAGCCAAGAATTCCCCATCTGTTCCCCAATCCTCCAGAACTGTATTTGTCCCTAAAGCATTTGTCTAATTCCACATATTGCTAAATCCAGAGACTGGTAGATCAGCGTGATGCATATTAGCTATGTGGCGTTTAGATGAGGGAAGAACTTAGYATGTACTTTAGAAAGGGCTTTGGTACATAGAAGATAACCATTTTGATCTTGTTTGTGGACATTTACAATGACAATACAGCTCAGTTAGCTGTGAAAAGTAGCAAGAATGGCAAAACCTTTTAGTTTCTTGCCCCTCAGAACTGGAATTAATGCAGTAATGAGTGACTCCAGAGAAGGCGTTTGGCTGGATGTCTTTCAAATTCAGTGCAGAGATGGAAGACTAAGACTGAAGCTCCCAACAGGAGACTGAGTTTTCTGAAGTAATCTAAATGCTCTCAAATACCCCTTAGGTTCATTGTGGAGTCRGTTGAACTCGCATGTCCACATCAGGAGCACATCTGTGGGTAGAAGCTGTGGTTAGAAAGCAATGCTAGGTTTTCTCCTTGACTTTCTGGGGTAGGAGCCACTTTGAACAGAAAGGGCCTCGGCTGTTAGGGCAGCTAGAACACTGCAACAGTTGGATCCAAGTCCAAGATATTTTCATGGTGCAGAGGGAAAATAATAGGGACCTAAGAAGTAAGAAAACTTGCAGCAAAGGCAATGATACCAAGTGAGAGAGGCTGTGGAGACTGATGGAGMTGTTGGCCTGTGGAAAGTGAGGCTGGGGTGGAGTGTGGAAAGGGGGTATTAAAATGTAAGTTATCTTTCAAGGAGTTGATGCCTGATCCAGTTAAAACAAACTTGTGCAGTCATTGTTAAATAGAAACCTTGTGGATCTTTTCTGTGCAGCACAGTAGGGATTTAAGCTACACTGGTTTTTGTTTCTGTTTTGAAATGGTATTGTATTAAATAATTTTCCYGTTGCCAAACACCTGCTAACATTTTTAGTTACCACATGTGTTGCATGAAAAGCTACCTCAGTACCAATACTCCAGAGAAATTCTGCTTATGCTGTTGATGCAAAGAGTTCTTCCCTAGTGACTTTCCTGCAGCAGGAAACAAACATCAGTTTTCCTTGCTGCTCACAGCTGCTTTAATGGRCTGAACTTGCACACCATGCACTGCTGACATTGGCACAAGCTCCTGAAGAAGGGAGGAAATAAGTGCCATGTTAATCCTACAGCTGCTGTCTAGAAGGGATTGGGGATGAGAGAGCTCTAGGCAATAGAAGGGAGTAGGTTACTTGAATGAGTACCAGGAGGTAATATTCAAGTTCTAAAATACTACATTTCTTCTGCAGAACAGAAAGGTATTGCCGCAGGAATGAGACRGCTATTTCAAGTAAGCTTAGCAGAATATTATAGTCAAGAAACTGACCGTCTTTTTCTTTTTTTTCTCCACTGTAGTTGAATGGGTTGCTGCAGTCTCCTTAGCTGCTGGAGCAGCTGCTGTTGGGTATCTGGCTTACAGAAAATTTCTTGCTAAAGACAAATGCTGCAAAGCCATGGTGAATCTCCATATCCAGAAAGATAACCCCAAGGTAGTCCATGCATTTGATATGGAAGATCTCGGAGACAAGGCTGTGTACTGCCGTTGCTGGAGGTCTAAGAAGGTAAGAGAAGAATGAAACGCCTTAGTTTTGTTGATATTCCTGCATGTTCTAACACAACTGACCTCAAACTGTTGTGATTAGAGAAAGCTACTCTTCTCACAAGCTATACTGCAGTACAATGTAGCCTTGACCTGTGCAGTCAGTGTTAYGATGGTATTGGGCTTTTTGACCAAAATTTATTGTTGTACTGCTGTATATTGTGAATCACAGAATATTCAAGGTTGGAAGGGACCTCTACAGATCATCTAGTCCAACCTTCCTGCTCAAGCAGGCACACCTAGAGCATGTGGCACAGGGTGGTATCCAGGCGGGTTTTGAAGACCTCCAGAGAAGGAGACATGTGGCACAGGGTGGTATCCAGGTGGGTTTTGAAGACCTGCAGAGAAGGAGACTCCACAACCCCCCTGGGCAGCCTGTTCCACCRCTCTTCTTTACTGTCACCCTCACAGTGAGGGGGAGAAGTTCTCACCTGGAGATGGAACTTCCTGTGTTCCAGCTTATGCCCATTTCCCCTTGTCCTATCGCTGGCCACCAATGAAAACAGCTTGTCCCCTTCYTCCCTGCATTCTCCCTTCCTGAACTTATACATGTTAATCAGGTCCCCTCTCAGCCTTCTCTTCTCCAGAGAAAACAGGCCCAACTCAGTCCCTCCTCATACGAGAGATGTTCCATTTCCTTCATCATCTCTTAGTTGCTCTCCGCTGTACCCTCTCCAGGAGCTCCATGCTGCTCTTATAGTGGGGAGCCCAGAACTGCACACAGTATTCYAGGTGCAGCCTGAGTAAAGAGCTATCTTCTGCCACAAATGCAGCAGTGAATTTTTCTCACTGTTGATGGAGATAATCTTAAACAAGTCCCATACAAACACCTTTGCAACTTGTAATTGTATGAGGAATTCTCTAGAAAAGCTAGAGAAATAGTGCTGACATACCTCAAACACTTATTTCAGGGAAATGCAGCCCATATCCACACAGATTCAACCTGCTTGCCTATAAAGCTGGGTTTCCCAGAAGTGGTAAACAGAAYATAGCCTTTCAGTGGCACTGTAAGATCAGTTTTAGATCTGTACCATATACATTACCATTACATATATATGGTGTGTAATGGGTTTTAAGGCCTGTAAGGAGAGAAAGCAGAGAGCCAGGGTAGTCTGGTCAGTTTACAACTGTCACACATTTAAAATCAATCTTTGAAGCTGAGATGCTGATGTGTGGAGACTGCGATGTTGCAAACCTTCAATGCCAGATAACTGAGATGAACAGCCTTGAAAGCTGGTTATCTCTCCCTTAGTGAGCTAAGTACTACGCTTCCCATGCCTTAGAGACCATCTAATCAGGCCACGCTGTGCGTAGTTCTCTGGGTACTGTAACTTTCAGTCCTTGCAGTTACCAAATTCCCTTCATTACCTGAAGGGAAAGTAAGGAAATTGGAAGAAAATTAACAATGCTGCTAATGGTTTGACAACGTCATGACTTGATTCTGAAATAGTCCTGTGAGAGAAGGGCTTGTAATTTGTTCCATCTGGAGTCTGAACTGCAAATGAGATTATTTTTTTCTCCATGGCCACAGTGGGTACTGTGGACTAAATTACATATTTCTGTATGTATTATGTATTACAGGGATGTCTGCACTTGCATGCAGGCAGTTCAGCATGCAGGTATCATGCAATAGTACATGTATAGCAGCATTGGTTCTMAATTTATAACATAAATCTCAACTGTGAATCAAAATTCTAGCATTGGAAGCTGCTGTGAGCCTTACAGTTTCAGGAGGTGGGGAGACTGTGGGGGACAGTGCAAATACTACTCAAAGTATTTGCAGGGGTGATATCTGAAATTGGGTTAACATACTGTAGGTACCTCCTTCAGTGCTTCTGCCAAAAAAAAAAAAAAAAACCCTAAGCTTGTAGCTTACTATTTATACTTCCAGCTTCTTTCTGTACAAAACAGGAATGGAAATAGTGTCTGSTTTTAGTAGTTGCATTGCAACTCCTGTCATTATTCTAGTTATTGTTTGATAATATCTTGTTTATGAAAAACAGATCTTATGAAATATGTCTTGGCATGTATTTGAAGGGGTGTTGTAAGTTTAGGAACATACTGTCCTGCTGTTAGACCCCTGTAATCAAATACTAAAAAGGAAGCAGATAGGGACCACCTTATAATGAGCCTGTTCTTGGAACTCTAATGTGAAAAATCTTGTAAATGCATTAAAGAGCTCAGTGGAAAAATTCAAAGGCATTTGTTTTCTTCTACTAATGCTTAGTAATGAGTATTTTAGCCAGTGTGTTCTGCTTCAAAACTTGTACTTTCTAGTATTATCATCTTCCCCTTGTGCTGATCAGTTGACCTTGCATGTTGGCTAGTATGATCTTTAAGGTGTGTGCTCTGCATCCCATGTTCTTATTACCAAGCAGTAATAAAAGACAGACATCATTTTCACATGCTTTGGGGTTAGAGCTTTCTGGCATTAGTTGTTCTTATAAGGTGCATCTTGTTTGAGTATGTGAGCACTTCTGATGGGTTTAGCTTGACCTGAGGCATGGAGGCTGTTCCTGGAACCTGTAGCACTGCAAAGCATAGGATATTTTGGTGTTTACTGTAGTGTATTCCAGCTGGCTTTGTCTGCTGAGCCTTCTGCACCAGCAATAACAAAGCAGTCCTATCCTAGTTGGACTATTTTAGCAGAGTCCTTGGAAAATGAATAGGGCTATCTGCAGTTGTTTTAGAAACACCTTTATATTAAACTAGTTTAAAAAGGTTTTTTGTTGGCCAAATATCTAACGTTTTTCACTGTTCTTTTTTAGAGCGCATGTGTTTAAAATGTATGCAAAATCTATAGATAAGATTGGATATAATTTTCTGGYTGTTGAAGCAGATAGTATATAGTTCTCTAAAATGGTCCTTTTCTCTTCAGTGTTGTGCTCTACAGGGTCTTCGTAGCAGTGTTTGTCTCATATTGTGGAAAAATGCAGTGGTCAAAGTTAGTGAATTACCAGAGGCAAGAGTTTTGTCTTAAAAACAAATTGCAATTACTGCAAAGTTAGAAGATGCATTTTCTTACTCTTTTCTCTTATACCAGTGATCTGGGAAGATGTCATCTTGATTTGTTTTTTGTAGTAACCTGCAGATCTGTCTTYTAGAGCAGTATTTGTCCTTATTCTGTGAGTTGAGAAATACTGCTGCAGAACATGAGGAACAGTAGCAGAGAATCCAAACCTGCTTAGTGTTGGGGGAAGTAAGCCAAGCTTTCTGAGGCATCCCTGCACCTTTCCCTTCAGCTATACAGTGCTTTGATTACTATTGCTAGCCTGCTTTATCTTACGAGAGGATGAACACCCTGTCACCCTGTGGTAGTCTGCACATCCACCTAATCTAGTACTTGCTTTAGAAGGTGACCAAGAGGATGCTCTGGAGAAGGGTAGAGAATATTTTTTTCAAAGAGAAATTTAAGTCTAGTGTGTCAGCATCTGGTGGCTATTGATGTTGAGTTGACCAGTTGAGGCAGGATGCACTGAGGATGGTCCAAGGTGGTAGCTCTTAGATATGCCTTGATGCTGTCTCAGGCCTATGGATTGCACTATTTTTGACAGCTGCAAACTTGAAGCAAAGATGCTGGTCCTGCTTCCTTGCAGCATGTGAAGTGCTATGTGTCTGATGGAGGCAGGGTGGACTCCAGTAAAGAGCAAGGGCTGTGATGTTGCATGGGAAAACTGGTGCAGAAGTGTCTGGGATGGAAGCAGATTGGTACCCTCTGAAGATATGTTCTTGTTTGCTCTAATTCTTTGGCAAGTGTCTAGTCATTGAGACTCAATGGCTAGTTTGATGGTAAAATACCCACATGATTCAGATTGTGTGAGTATTCTCCAAGTTCAGAGTTTCTTTATTTGGAAACTTCATCTGCCAATTGTAGCATGTTTTTTGACATTTTTTAACTGTGAAAAGCAGATCTTCCTACCTTGCCCCCAGTAGAGATAAGTAAAATTTTCCCCAACAGAGTATGYGTCTTTATCTGTAAAACTAAGGTTCTTAAGTATGTTGTTTTCATTCTGTTGTTTTCATGCAGTATTTTGAAATACTTTCTTGTAACCACACATGTCTCTTCAGGATGTTAAAGTTAACCAGGGTCCGAGCCACAGCCACAAGGATCAATGCAGTGTTGAAAAGGGTTTGATCATGATTGTAATGTGAAGGGGATATTGCTGTTGTAAAACTTGAGCTGAGTATTGCCTAAGTTTGATTCTAGTTTCTTCGAAGTGTGTGTGTGGGGGGGAGTAGGAATTGACTGAAAAYACTGGTGTGTGACTTTCTGAGCTGATCTCCAGAGTTTCTCCTACGATAATGGCTTAGCCCTGAAACTCGTTATGGGGAAGCAATGGGGTCTGATCTAACTCTTGTTGCTTCACACAGTGTTCTTTGGCTCTTGCAGCTGACAACAGCTGCCCAGGAGCAGAGTGGTTGGAGCAGTCCAGAACCTGAGCAGTTGTTACTGGCTAAAGGAGAGTCTCCTGGGTCTTGCTCTGAGCAGGCTATTCTGTTTTTTTATASAATATGCATTTCTTCAGATTGCTTCCTCAGTACTACCCTTAAGCCCCTGATGAATAAGCATGTCAGCTGGAGGTGCAGTTTGTTCTCATTAGCAGCTCAAAATCCTAATGTAGAGTCCAGCTTGTGTGGAAGGGCCTTTGTGTCAATAAGTGAGCTGTGTCAGGATGAAGCAAAGAAGGGCTTGTCATTCTAGCTGTCTGCRTGCAGAACTAATCTTTTGATGTCCTTGCTTAGTAAGAGATGACCTAAGGAAGTGGTCCTTTTCACATAGAGAATAAAAAACAGGAAATAATCAGCTGAGTATTCTTCATTCTTTTACTCATTCTGCAGCTATGTTCAACTGTAGCTTTTGTCCAAGGAAGCAGAGCATGGGGTGAGGTTGAGAGTTAGATACTCTAAGTAGGTTACAGGCAAAGGCCAGACTGAACTTTGTTTTCTGGGACTAGAAAGCCAAACTGAGTTCCTCCTGCTTAATAACAAGTCTCCCATTTGTTGTGCTCACTTGTGTGAGCAAAGCTAGTATTCAGCCAGAATCCAGGGAGACCCTAAATGCTAGTGCAAAGTTTGTGATTGCAGTGGATTTGCAAAGCTACTCCGAGAATGTTCAACCTTCATTCTTGATTCTGACTCTGGATATACTTAATATCTCATTCTTTCTCTTTTTCAGTTCCCCCTGTGTGACGGCTCTCACACAAAGCACAACGATGAAACTGGTGACAATGTTGGACCTCTGATCATCAAGAGGAAGGAGGCATAGAGTGGGCAATGGAAGCTACAAAATGAATGTCTGACAAATCTTCTGCTCACTTGTAATTCAGGAGGAGAAAACACATTTTGTTGTGTCACTGAAGACTCCCCACTGTAGTGTATACCTGAGGCTTCAGTATGTGTATTTTCTGGTGTCTTGTTTCAATCACTACGATGTATAATTTACTAAATAGTCATGGTTAATTTTTTGTCCTGTGAAGTATGTGTACCCTTTCATTAAGTATGAAACTAAAATGACGGATAGAATGTACTTCAGCCAGTGTGCAGAAAATAATTTATTAAATTATTTTCAAATACCTGTGTACTACTTTGAGGCAATTTGAGACAATTCAGTAGCAAGTGTATTCAGAAGGTAGCTCTTAATATTGAGAGATTTAAGTCACAGATGCAGATAGACTCCTTTTGAAAAGGCAATGGCAGGAAAAAATCATGATGCCAGAATGCAACTTAACTTGGGCTTACACTGCATTTTCTGCAAGTTTCTGTCAGACTGCTGTTCTGTGTGACTCCTGTAAAAGGGGAAAAAAAGTTAACTAGGAGCAGATAAGAAAAAGGMTTATGGCAAGATGGGGCTAAAGGGCAACTTTACCTTGAATCTTATAGCAATGTTGAACCTTGACTTTACTACCTAGCATATGATATCAAGAATGCATTAGCCAAACTGTGGAACTGTATTTAGAGTAGGATTAGGAAGATGGTGTCTGGGAAGAAAATAAAAGTATTTTCTTAATATGAAAGGGGAATTATACAAAGGAGTAGTGGGCAGCAGGTGGCAGGGTGGCTTCTGCTGCTAGAAACTGTTAGTTTCGTTTGCAGTCCCTGGCAGTGGAACCATCTTGCCTGGATGATAAGACACTTCTTAGGGTGGCTATGCTGTGTTAATCCAAAAGTAAAACAAAACTAGGAGAACCCACCCAGCATTACTGTCTGCTTCATCTTTGCTCTGGCTGGTTCTGGAGGACCCTTCCCTCTGTGTAGGGAAGAGATGCGCCTTTCTTATTGAGTGGCCTTAGGCTCTATGTGTCTTAAATAGTTCCTGCCTCCCTGGGCTCACTGTTAATGTAGATCAGCTAATTTTATCTGGAGAGCTACAATGGACAGGAAGATGTTTCAGTGATGGCTAGAAAAAACGGGAAAAGGAATGAGACAAGAACTTACCCTCTACATATATGGCACTTGTCTGTGTCATCTAACTGCCATGCATACCACAAATGTGATGGCTGTAATATTGGTTTCCTTAAATGCCTTTGATTTATCAATGTACAAACATCTGTGAGGCAAAACCCAAAGACTGGGATGGCAGATGGCAATTTGGTATTTAACAAGTCTGCTAGCCTAGTTGCACCTTGCATCAGACTTCTCAGTGTCCAGGGAGAGCCTACCTCAGAGCTAGAGGAAGAGGCCTTTTAAGAAGCTGAAACTTAAAGCTGAAACTCTTGAAGATTTTTCTAGCCGGGAGGTGGTATTTTTTTATTATTATTTTTTTTTTACATTTAGGGTTGGTATGACTKGTTGAGATCAAAGGAAGTGTTTTGTGAGCTCTCGTAGATGTGGGCCATTCAGAGGCTGGGGAAACTGCTCTGAACTTTGGTAGAAAGCACAGAAAATAGTGATATAAAAGAAGGGGAAAGATGGTATATAGCTGAAATATATGGGGCTCAACTACTGTCTCCTAGAGACCTCAACTAGAAAGGAGTTGCAATCAGATATGTATAGTTTCTGTCTTTTCTTCCTGTCTTGACTGTAATGGTACTTGATTTTTTTAAATTGGCCAAGTACTGATATGTGCGGAAAGTTGTTTTAACTGTAAATTATCAAATATGTTGGTTTTATCCAGAACAAGTTACTTCTGTATTATTAGACTGACACTGGATGTTTCTGTATTTTTGTCAAATACACTTTTGAGCTCACCTTCATCTTGAGACTATGGCTCTGATCTCATGGGTGTGCATTTCTTCATAAATCTGTGTTTGTGTTAGCTTTTCCTTCTGATACTTCTCGGGAGTTCCAGCAAAGTCTGTCTGCTCTTGAAGGGATTAAAAAAAAAAAATCGTAATTTGCGTATGTGAACAGCTCAAATCCTGAAGCTTCAGATGAGGCTCCAAAGTCATAAAACTGTTTCTTGGAATTCACAGGTAAAGCATTTTCTGCTATATGAAGGTGAGTCTAGTATTTCCATAAGAACCTCTATTTATTTATGAGGGGGAGCAAAGATTTAGAAGCAATTTCTGCCATTTACATCTTCCTTGTTTTTGAGAAGTGTCACTGTTACAGATGTTGACTTGCTTAGATTTTGTTTTGATTCAGGCAGTTTTCTGTACTGTACCTAAAGTTCCTGTTACTCATATATGGGAGCTGTCTGAACATGTTAATGAAAAGAAATACTTGCGTTTGAGCAAAAAACTTGCCAAAAATCTTGATAAGCGTCACAGAAAATGTTTTTCTTTATTACCATAACTGTTTATTGTCCTCTGATGGTCTGAGTGCTTGCCTGCTGTGGTGTTTGCTGAAATCTGTGTTCCTCAGGGCTTTCCTCAAATAATCATGAGAAAAAGTAGATTTATTAAGAGTTTTATGAAGTTTTAACCACCAACAAATTCTTCTGTAAATGTACTATTTTTTGCATCAAATGGAAGCTCTGAGAATGTGACACAAATCCTTTCTGTTTGTAGCATTAACGGTTGTCTGTCCCAGAGTGCAGCTTATTTCTCTGCTACATGATTATTTTTCAACATATTCACCTTCCTAATAATTGCAGATTAGACCACTAATTCTTCAAAATAACTTTAATGTCACTATCAAGTGTATCTAAGATCAGGATTCTTGAAGGAGGCAGCTGCATTATTGTAAGGCATTTTCTGCAAGTTCAGTTCAAGTCACATTAACCAAATAGATAATTTCAAATGGTTATTGCTGTCATTGCAATAATTCATTATTCCACTAGGAGGAAACACTCTATGCATTTCAGATTTCCTGATACAGAGGAGGAGTTTTTTGGTATGTATGTTTATATATGCATACATGTATTTCAAAATATTGTCATCTGTCTGAGGCAAGGCTTGTAAATTTCTGTGAAGTGCTGAGATTAAGCAGTTTTTCTTAAGCAGTAAGGAAGCAGAGCACTCCACAGGTTCTGCTAAAATTTCCAGAGTGCCTAAACGATTTGGACCTTGTTTTGGTGTTTCTGGTGTAGCCTGCACATGGRGGCAGTTAGACTTGCTTTATGCAGTGGCACAGCATTTACATGGGGATTTTCCTGTAAATAATCCAGCCAAATACATGGAAATGTGAGTCATTGATGTATCACTGTCATTTCTCCAATAGCAGCAGAATCCTTCTTAACAGCAAGAAGGATAACGTAGGCGTGAAACTAAATATTCACATTGGAAAAAATGCTTTAGTCCACTGGCTCCCTGTAACTTATCTTGCCCATAAAAGTCTCAAACTTGGCATTTGTTCTGATGCCCAAAATTTCTTGTTTGGTGGCAGCTTCTTCAAGTGCTGGATGGTTTTGGTGGTGTGGTGTGATGCATCCATACTGTGTGTGAATGCAGAGASGGAATGCCCTGCCGTGGCTACCAGCACATCAAATTTTCCAGGGTTTTTCTTTGATACTTCAGCATCTTCCTCAGGCAGGATTACACCCAGGTCTCCCCAAAGCTGTGAGGAATGCAGAGGGAAGCGTAGGTGTAAAACATGCAAGGAAGAGAAATGAGGAGAAAAAAAGAAAATAATGAAGTGGCAGATGTGAGGAGAGCTAAGCTAGAGGAGAGGATTTAACTGTGGCAGAGCTAGGTGGTTGCAAGGAGGCTTAAGTCAAAGCAGAGAAAATCACGTTTTATTTCATTGTACCTCTATATAGAATGAAGAGTAAGTTACATAAAGTGTTTTTTTGATTAGCTGCTGTGCTTGGGCAGCTTTCTTAGCCAAACAAATATATTTAGCAGGTTAGAGCCTAAGGGGTTACATTCCTTGAACAGACATCTGTTAGAGTTTATGTGCTTTTTTTCCTCCTACGCTGTTTGTGAAATCCCACAGTATGGGACAGAAAGCAGTGCATACCTATGCCCTGAGTCCCCTAGCAGTCAAACATTAATGCAAGCTCACCTTTGTGAACTGTTTAACTAGCTATGCAATTATAATGAGCAAAAGGAGTATTTATCAGTATGCCCCTTCAAGTATGTAAAAACACAAGGGGTTTATGTCACTGCAGCAAAGCACGTTTTAGGCCACCCTTCTCATATGCTGTTTGGACTTGTAAGAAAGCAGGTTCTCAGGAAATTTCTCTTTTCACTGTTTTATGAAATTCTGTTTTTCCATGAACAGAACCTGCATATATCTCACATGAGCACCAAGAGATCATGTCCAATGTTATTTTGTTCCTTCAACATTGCTCTGTCCTTAATCTGGTACATTTTACTTTTTTAATCATTTTTGTCATGCAAACTGCTGCTTGCTTCTGACATTTCTGAATGCACAGCACGGTTTAAAAACAAGAAAAAGCAAAAGAAGCTGCACCCCAGGAGGTGCCTCTGCAGAGAAGCAGAGCTTCTAGAGCACAGCAGAAATTACAGCTGCAATGTGTGGAGCATCCAAAATTGAGTCCGCTGCAGGGATGTSCTCGGTAGCTGTGATGTTTGTGCAGTTCAGGCAAGCCCGCTAGCGGCAGTGGTTCAGCAGAATGGAGGATAAGGTCACTGACCGCAAAACTTTTCTCCAATAGTTTTCTGCAGCTGGCAAATATAACCGTACAAGGATAAAACTGAGACACAGCCAGGACTCTTGTTCTAGACTCGGGTATCAAACACAACAGGCGTCTCATTCAGTAATTATTAAATGTGTTACTATTTTCAAACTGTGTGATATTGCCTTTTGAATATCAATGTCAGCTCTGGCATCTGCAGAGAATAAATTACATTTTAAGGGTTAAAATTCTGCTTCACAAGCAAAGTTTGGGATTAAAATGCTGTTTATAAGAGGAGGCTTTTTTGATAGCAGTTGGCAGTGGTTTTAGTAAATGGGTGCTGAAGTTTAGTTTTACTGCAGATAGAGCCAATGTAAGAGGCGTTTAAAAAAAAAAAAATCCTCTTGGCATGTTCATTGTCTGAAGTCAGGCACCAGGATGGTCCTAAAGGTGAAATGCCATTGTGCATCTGTAAACTCTATGCAGTTCCTTGATACAGGAATATGTTTGTATTTGGAAAACCTCTGTTTAGAAAAGCAAATGGAGTAATCTGTAACCTGAGAGGTTAGGAGATGATTTAAGTACTAAAAGCAGTGCTGTAATGCCTGGATTTTAGAAAGAAGCACAATTTCTTGCTCTGGGATTTAACTGTTCCTCTCTTGTTGCCATGTCCTGGAGCTGGAGGCAACTAAAACATGTTTAACAAATTCAAACCCTCCATAAATCACTGTGAGCTTCCACCTTCAGGACTGATCAATTAACAGTATGGCTTTATTGTATCAGAGACACCAGAAGTGCAAGCCACGCTAAGGTTATATATAGCAGCAAAACGAGACCTTTGTCTTTTTCTCAAAGCACTTCCTTATGTTGCCCAATGTTTTGTTGGCTTTTTGGGCAGCAAACGTACACGGAGCTGATGACTTCAGAGGAACATCAGCAGCGACTTCCAGAGTCCTTTCCTGAGCTGTGACTGCTGCTTCTAGGCTCAGCATTAAATTTCTTTGGTTTGGTTTATTATCTTAATGTTTGTCTGTACAAAAACAGCTCATGTGAACATTTTTGCCCTCCATTCAGCTGACAGCTATAGTTGAATTTGTAGAAAAATTTATACAGAAAGTAAATGATTATAATGAATTAKCCCCCAAACTATTTTAGAAAACATACTGTGTTATGTCTGCAGAGTTTGGATTGGCTTTTGACACTATGGCTCTGTTACTGTGGAAAACCTCAGATACACCTGGCAAGGCAGAAATGTGGCACTGGAGTGTTTCCTTATATTCAGAGATCAGTAATCATCAGCAAAGTAAAATATTAATCAGAGAGGCTCCTTTTGTGGGATCTGACACAGAAAAGGAAAAGAGGTAGCTGGGAAAGAGCATTTCCGAAGTTCTGCCTTATTCTGAGTCAAGAGTAATTTAGATTTTCCTTTGCTTAGCAGTAACAAAATAATACAGGATTTCTATAATTTAATGAAGGATTAAGAACGCTGAACTATTTTATGAGGGCGCAGCCATGTTTCTGCTGGGAAATGGATAGACAGGCAGCTACAAGTACCTGGGATCCATGTAGGTTAGCCATAAGTGACTCCATCTATTTGTTTACCTAATGTCTCACTGCAATTCCACTGAAGTCTGAGGTTATTTCCTGTACTAAACTATTGTACATCTTGTGGTTGGTTATTAGCTGGCTGATCTATTTAAAAAAGGGCTTTTTTTTTGTCAGCAGAAAGACTTTCTTTTGTAATCCTTACTCAATTCAGAAGAGCTTTGCAATGTGCCAGTTTGCASTAAAATGTACACATCACATACTCTTACTGTTGTTAGTATTTACATTTTGGTCAGAATAGGTGAGGTACGGTTAGACTGTTTTTCAGGAAAAGAGAAAGATGATCCAGAATTAAGAGTTCTGTGCCTACTTTGTTTCARTATTGGCGCACTTCTCACACCTACTGCTGCTTGCCTATTCTTCAAAGCTGTTCTCCCTTTCGGTTTCTCTTTGAGAGCGATTCTACTGCCCAAAGAGGAAAAATGAGTCCGAGACTCTTTCCTACAGGTTCTGTTTTCAGTGAAAATTAACAAAACTACATTGGGAATTACAATGGGGGGGGGGAAATATTTATAGTTTCTTGTATATAACAGTCCAGCTTGTTTTATTTTTGGAGAAGTTCCCAGATAAAATTAATGAACCCTATGTGACAAAGTGATGGTGGAATGAATGAGTGAAAGATGCATCAGCACCTCGCTTCATTTCTATATGCAGAAACCCTATTAAAAGATTAAGTGAAAAGGAAATAGTGTTTACCCACGTCAGCTACTCACACTTTTGTATTTCCTTTAATGCCCTCAAGGTCCATGCTGCATGTGGGGTGGTTGGTGCTGAGGTGAATACCCTGGAGCAGCTCGYTGGGAGCCGGTCTTCACCGAACGGCACCATCGGGCCTGGGAGAACTTGTTCCTTGGTTGTTTTTTCCCCTGTGAAACCGCTGACCGAGCTGTGTTATCACTCTCCCACATCAGCATCTCCCTGGGAAACTTTGCCATCACCTGCATGGGGAACCGAAGGTAAGTGCTGATGTTTGCAACTATCCTCAGCTTTGGGCACTGACAGGTGCCTCTTGARGAGGAAGGGACATTTGGGAAGGAGAAACATGGCTTTTCTGACACACTAGTCTCAGCGTTTAAAAAATGTTGTTGCTGAATCACTACCATGGCCTCCCTCCTCTTAAACAAGTAAGAAACAGTTCCATGACCCCTGGGCCTAGAGAAACCTGATTTCCATAGATCTGTATTCTGCTCCTTTCACTCATCTTGTGYCAATAATCCAAACAGTTTAAATACAACTCATCACCTGCAGAGCTTTCTTTACTCTTTTCTAKTTTTTTTTCAGACTGTGTTGCCTTTAAAGGACCCTCACCTACTTTAAAGGTTTTGACACTATGAACTTGAACATAAGGGAGAGAAAATAGACAYGTTTGCCAAAGAGGATCTACAACCCCCTAGAAAGGCAAGGTCTTGACAAAAACTGCAAAAATTGGCTTTTTTAAAGCAAAGAATGATTTTCTGGTTACAGAGGATGTATGAAGTGGGAAAGTAATCTGCATATTAAATAATGTTATCAATCTTGCAGGACTTGTGGAACAGTAAAAAATGAGAAGACATCGAGATTGTGGTAAAAGAAGGGGGGGGAAGTATATTATATATAGATATTCCAGTGAAGGCACTCGTTAACGCAATGCGTGACTTACGCAGGAAACAAACTGCCACCATAAGGCAGGAGGGAGGGCAACRTGCGCCGAGCGCACGCGGCCGTTGGGGCGAATATCTGCGCGCTAAAACGGCAGCAGAAACGGGAGCGGCTCGTTGGGGCCGGCGCCCCGCGCCCGCTAACGCTCTCGCCTCGGAGGAGAGCGAGGAG